TAGATTCAGCCTCATCTTTTCCTCCCAAACAATATCCGCTACCTTTGTTCTCTTCTCTTTTCCAATCTGTATATTACATGTATACATAGGACAGTTTACTCACCAAAGTCGCTCTTTTATAAGACCCTCTTCTTCTTCCTCCTCTCCTCCCCAGTCCGAGACGTCTGGCGCTTCGCCGCATCATTGTGATGGAATATGGACCCTGGCCAGTTGACCAGGTTCAATCTCCTTTTCCCTCTGCCTTACCGAGTAGCCATTGTACTAGTCGCAGGTATGCTCTCCTTTCCCCGCATTCCTACATGCATTCCAGCTATGACCTATTCAGTTTATTTCAAAACTTCCGCTGACCATTCCCATATAGCTGTTTGGGGCTGGGGACTGAACCTTCATTACTTATCAGCCGTTAAAATTGTTCGTTTGTTCCTACAGGGAACGTTGCCCCTTGAAATTTAAAACGGGGAAGATAGTTCTTGAAGTCAATTCCACCCATTCGCTGATCTTATTTCCAGGATGTTACCTCCTTGATTCGATACCCTTCTCGATCGTCGCCTAACCAGGTCCCCGTCTACCGTTCAACGTATCACCTTGCAACCTTACTCTCGATTCCTCTTGCGATATCTCTCCTGTTCTTCTGGGCCGTGACCCATGGTTCTCCGGAGCGCGTTATTGAGTGGGAAATTATCCCGCAGTCATATCTCCTCATATTTTTCGTTCTCCTAATCCTCCCGCTGCACAGGCTATCCCGGACAGGGAGGCACAGATTCCTTGTTGTGTTGAAAAGAATTAGTGTTGGGGGCCTTGCAGAGCCTCAGGATGGGAAATTCGGCGACATAATACTAGCAGACGTTCTGACGAGCTATTCCAAAATTCTGGGAGATCTTTTCGTGAGCGCCTGCATGTTCATCTCGTCTGGGGTGTCCAGCACAGGTATCCCCAACAGAAAATGCGGCAGCCAGATTACTGTTCCTTTACTCATCAGCATCCCGAGTGCGATTCGGCTCAGGCAGTGCCTAATCGAATTCCGCCGGGTGCGTAAGGGAAACAAAAACATCGAAGGCTGGGGTGGACAACACCTTGCAAATGCACTCAAGTACGCAAGTGCTTTTCCTGTAATTACATTAACTACACTGCTACGGAGCCATGACCCCACTACATCTACTGTCAGCCCAAAATATCTATATCGATTATGGTGTGTCAGTGGATAAATTATCCTTCAACTATAGAATGTTCTACTAACTTCACGCGCAGGGTTCTTTCAGCACTAGTTAACTCTCTTTTCACATTCTACTGGGATGTCGCTAAAGATTGGGACCTCACATTATTTTCCTCACTGAACCACCTCAATGATCATGATCACCCATTCGGGTTGCGACGTTATCGCTATTTCCATGCAAATGAAATGTATTATTCAGCTATCATCATCAACCTGCTTTTACGATTTACTTGGGTTTCTCAGCTCTCATCACGTTTCTATTGGGTTAATGATATAGAAGGTGGTGTTTTTGTTCTCATGCTTCTTGAAGTTTTTAGGCGATGGATATGGATATTTTTCAGAATTGAGACTGAGTGGGGTGAGTACATAATCCACTTGTTCTCTTAATGAATATATATATATATATATACATGAAAAAGAAAATTCACTGATAACATCTTGTTAGTGCGAAACAATCATGGCCCTGCATTAAATGATATACTACTTAGTGAATTTAACAGCAAGATAGATGAAGATTAAATAAAAGATAAATTGAACAAACTGTTGAAAGAGCTTTGATGTGAACTTTTTTTTTTTAAATTTTTCTTGAGATTTTAATTATATATTCTATTATATTTATAGATATTTTTTTAATGATATTTAAAGAAAAAAAATAATATAAAAATAATTAATAGAGAAGAATATTATAAATTAGAAAATATTATATTAAATAATAAAATTAATTATTTTTCTAAGAATATAACTTATATTAATAATTATATAAAAATTTTTTTTATAAAATTATAATTATAATATATATATAAAATAATATTTAAATAAATAATTTAATTTTTAAATTCTAGTAAATAAAAAAGAAATATTAAAAATTTTTTATATGTTTTTAAAATATTAATATATTTAAATTAATTAAAAAATAATTAAAAAAATAGATAATAAAATATAAAAATCTATACTTTAAAATTTATAATATTTAAATTTTATTTATATATAATTAAAAATAATATTATTATAATAATATTATTAAATAATATCTTTAAAATAATATACATTTTTTATATTACTTTTTTATATATATATATTACTATTATTTAATATATTTTTTAATAAATTAAATTATTAAAATAATTATAAATAATAAAATATTTAATACTATTATTTTTTTAATTTATAATAATAAATTAATATTATTTATAGAGAAATTTATATCTATATAAATAATAAATATAAAATAAAATTAATAAATTATATTTTTAATTAATTTGAATATTTTTAAGTAAATTAAAAATAAAAAAAATTTAAAAAGCTAGAAAGTTTTATATTATTAATTTTAATGAAATAAATAAAAATTTAAATTATATATAATATCATATTTATTTTTACATTAATTAAAAAATATTTTCGTCATTTAGAAAGAGCGCTTCAGCGTCAAAACGCTGCATTAATTCAAACAGCTCCATTGCAGACAGCGCAAGCATGCTCAGCTGTTTATGATTCAACAGT